TTTCTTTAGTCATTCTTCAGGGGTACTTATAACTTTCTACTCCATTTCAACATGGCAGACAGCAGCCCTTAAGACTCAATCTGGACGTCACTGTTAGAGAGATTTAATGATGTTCCACAAACATGAGCAACTCAGGGCAGATATTATATGTAGTTTATAAATATATTAAGGTGTTAGTTGTTGCCATGTGACCTAGTTGTTTAGTAGGATGAGTCTCAAAGCAGAGTTATAGTTTCTTTGTGGTCATAGATTCAACCTTAAACCTATTTTCCATTGAGAAGGTGTGAGGAGAATCAACACTCTCCTGTTTTATTGTTTGTTTGTTTGTTTGTTTTTTATTAAATAAACAAATAATAAAATAGCTTTCCTTTTCGCACAAATATTTAATGGGTTAAGTTTTGTTCAATTATATTTTACAGCGGAAATTGGATTGTGATTCTGTATCCTAATGATGAGGGCTTCTTATTATGCTTACATTGAGTCTGAAAGCTAGACTGACTTAGCTAAGAACAGGTTTAACTGAAGATCACCTGTTCTGAATATCACAGCCTGATAACTTAAACTCAGAATAACTGCTAGCTATTCAGAATACGTTAAGCCAATTTTTGGGAGCCCTGCTGAAAGCTTAACAATCGAGTCTAAAGGACCGAGTCACAGGAAGAGTCGGTGTGAACTTAAAGACAGTAAAGTTAGCTGAATGTAGAGGTACCTGTTTATGCTCAGATAGCATCTGATCATTTTTTTCGCCATCATCAAACTACCAATAACTTCAGTATCACTTTTAGGAAAACAATTACCTATTCTACTTTGAAATAGCCTAAAAAACTAACTTTACCATGAAACTTCCTCACATCTCAAAAATCAGAAAACAGTAATGAGTGCAATATTAACAAAGTAAAGGTTTTTCTTATACACATCTTTACTTTAAATTAAAAGTATTTATACCAAAAATATTCCTTTTGATATGTTGACTTTTTGCTGCAGTTATTTTGGTTGATGTCATGGACTGATTTTTTTGCAAAGAAGATATAATGTATGCTGTCTATTTATTACTTGTTTCCTGGAAACCTTCATTCTAAATTGTCTTTTTCTGGGTCTTCTTCAGATCTTTTATAGTTAGCTGCCCACAGAAGTTCCTTCTTCAAACAGCATTCAGTCTGTTTCTCCTTTGTGAGACTTTGTCACAACTCAGTTCAATTCTATTCAGTTTATTTCTATAGTGATGTACAACACAAGTCATCTCAAGGCACTTTACAGTTCAACCAGATCATACAGTCAGATTGATTCAAAGTAAGGCAATAGTTACTTTTACTAGAAACTAGTTACTTTTATTGAGGAATAACTCAGTTACTAACTCAGTAACTTTTTGGGAGAAGTAACTAGTAACTATAACTAATCACTTTTTCAAAGTAATGTGCCCAACACTGGTTAAAGCAGCCAGCTGGCCCTCGATGAGTGGAGTTTAGGACCACTAGGAGGTATTTCAAACATCCACACCCAGCCCAGGCAGAAATAGAAATGAAAGGATGTTGAACAGGTTCGCTAAAAAATTGAGAAGCAACTAATTCAGATTTTATTGAAACTATTTTTCTAAACGTTGGCAGCATGTTGTGTTACATGGTGAAACTTTCTCAAACTACACTGACTCACTAACACATCTGTTTCCAGCCGCAGGGACAGGATGTGGCTGTAATACAAAAAGCATCATAATAAAACCAAAAACCCCTCAGCTTCCTGAAACTGTTTGAGTTTTGCTCTGAGTTTCCTCTCACCGGCTTTTCTGGAATAAAGCTGAACCGGTAAGATTTCAATTACTTTGCTGTTTCTGTTCAAACTTTGACTTTAATCCTGAAATCTGAATAATTTCTGCTATATAAAGTTAGAAAGTTGGTCTGGATTTTAATAAAAGGGGTAATTAACTCATTAGATTCGACTGAATGATATTCCTCTGATATGCTGTTATTATTAAACAAATCATTTTAGATCTTATCTCACATCAGTGAGATCAGGGTCACATCAACATGTGAAAAATCTTATTTCCAATTTTCACTGACAACTTAACTTCCAAAATAAGCCAATTATTTCCTGTAGAGAAACTAATGGTGATAACAGTGACTAGTTATTGATCCTTTAAGTACATTTGTGGAAATTGTCAGGTTAAAAACCGTTAAAGAAGATAATCACTCTGTTATTTTTTATAAACCAGAAAACACCTCTAGACTTTCTAAAGTTAACATCTAGAAAGCCTCTACTTTAGCGTCACTGTCTCTCTGTCTCTGGCACTATATAATAAACTGAATTGAATTAAAAGAAATTTAAGCAGGCAATTTGGAAGAGAGAAAAAGTAAGAAAGAAAAGCAGTTTGGTGCAATTACCCTCTTAAATACATTCATTAACCACAATGTTCTCTTAAGTTAAGGTCTTATGCTACGTTCAGACCGCAATTCTGAGCAGCTGAAACAGCGCCTCGTGAGTTTCTGAGGTGCCTAACAGGCTGCAGAAGCAGCAGCTGCTGGATGTGGAAAAATTTAAGTTTTGCTTCTTAGTACGCCTCATCAACCAATCAGAGAAGCTGATCTGGGAGCTGGCAGGGAGAGAGACACAGCACAGCTGATGCAGAGCGCTATGATCAATCCTCTGAAACAGTTTATGAATGCCTACATTAACTTAAAATGTAGAAACCTGCCGGCAAAGCATGTTTGCTTTTATTATTTTGGTGCCTGCAGTTTGGATTATATAAAAACACCTTCCAGCCGCTGCAAACACTAGCGAAAAACCCCAAAGAGACGACCGGGCCAGAGGCTGCTGATGAACGGGATTCCCAGTGATAGAGCTCCGCCGTACAACCGCTCAGGCCATTGTTGTACATCTGTGTGGCTCTCATAGCAAAATAATCTTTGAAGGCAGGATGGTAATCTGGATGAACTGACTGCACAGACCATGTTTTCAGGAGGACTTTCTCACTTAAAAATATATAAAAACTACTTTTTACCAACTGATCCTAGCAAATATAGAAAAGCTGCTTTCTGGCATTGAACACAGGAGCAGCAGAAGCATCAGATGCATCTGGACTCACTTTACTCGACGGCTGACATCAATGTGGATGAGCATCAGAAATCAAGCAGCAGATGCGTTTTTGCTGCTGAAAGCGCCTGCGGTCTGAACGTGGCATTAAAATGTATAGGTGCTTTTTCATCCATTTTTTGTTACTTATGCTTTCTAGCCGTCTGCAATGGTAGTTTCTTCCTGAAGGCTTAAATATTTTAATAATCTTCCACTGACTTACTTTCTGTATTCTTTTCATTGTACATTTGGGTTTATTTCTTACCTGTCATTCACTCTGACTCTGTTCCCGTCACAAATTTCCAAATTCCATCTGGATTCATGTAGGAGCCAATTAAGTATCCAGGCGGGACCGCTTTGCTTTAATCTTTGCATGTCTGCATTTAGAAATGTTTGTTTGGCAACACCAGCATGTATTTTGCCCGTTAAGGCAACGCATTGCAAGTCAAGTTTGCTTATATAGGAAAGTGCTGTACTGGGGGGGGGGGGGGGGGGGGGGGGGTTTGAGTGATAAGAACACACAGAGGTAAATGTTAAATGTTAATTGCGGTTTCACAACGCTAATTAAATAATTATTTGAATGAATAGTTAAAGTGAATAAAGTGGTTATAAACAATAATTATACACTTTTTGATAGTAAAATGAAAGTAAGGCGGGCTACAATGCTACGGCATTTTGGTGTTTGGGATTTTGTTCCAGAATAGTGAAGGCTTATAGCTAATAGCTGCCTCTGTCAGGCTTAGAACTGAAAGATCCAGTATTCAAGGCAGACAATTAGATTTCTCAGAACGTTTATTGAAAACAGAATCTGGGTGGGTGGCGTCGGCGTCTAAGTAAGGAATAACTGATCTTATAGTTCAGTCTGAGTCCAGAGATAGAGGATGGTTCAGGCCGGCTGGCTGCCAAGGGACTCCCAGACGCTGATGTAAAGGAGGTCAGAGGACAGGCAGGAGATCAGAACCAAGCAGACGGATGAAGGCAGGATGATCCAGATGGAGAAGCCAAAGCCGATATCACTGGCATGGTAGATTGTCAGAGCCAGGAGGTCAGAGATCGCTAAAGGAGAATCCAAGATGGAGTCAGGTCACAGTTCCAGGTTCCGTACACAATGGGGCTGACAGGTTGGATGAGTGCAGGTAGGACTCAGTGGTTGGGAAACGGTTCTGGTTCGGTACACAAGCTGGCAGAGATCAGGCAGGAATCGGAAGACAGGGCAGGCAAACAGATCAGATGGGAAAAGGCAGGCTCAGAGGTCGAGAGGCAGAACAAGTCAGGTAACAATCAGGTTATTAGAATGAAGCAACGCTAAAATAAGTCTCACCATCTGCTGGAAATAATCTGGCACTGATGACTGGTCTGAAGGCTGGTTAAATAGTGACTAATGCAGGTGGATCAGGTGAGTGGGTAATGAGAACAGAACCCCGCCCCTAAGGGCAGATCCCAGACTGATCTGGATGATCTATGTGAAAACTCTTAATTCTTTATCCAAGATAAACCTGACAGAAATACAGACATTTCCTCTGGGCCGTACCCCTCCAAGTCCACCAAGTATTAGATCCCCTGGATACAGAGATCAATTCCAACCATTTGCAGTTCCAGTTTTTACTTCCTGGGCCTGGATTATTCACCTCTGCTATTTCAGCTCCACTACATACAATCAGTTGAGCTTCCTTAGATAGAAAATAGTGGACATGTCCCTGTATATAGTCTTTATTAAATTTAAATCTGCTTGCTCCCAGTCCTCAGTGCCAGATTATGTAAACCTTTGGTGAGGGTTCTCTAGCATACCTGTTGTTGTTCCGATTGCCTGATCCTGACCAGTTCTTTCTTCGGACCTTTGAGCCTTCCTGTTTCTGTTTCGGATTTGTTTGCCTGACCTGTCTTTAGACTCCTGCTGGTTTCTGCCTGTGGAATGAACCTAGATCTGCTTCCTTTCAGCTCCTGGAACTCTCTTGGTGGTGTTCATAGCGGGCTGTTGTTAGCCATCCGGCTGGATTGCACTCCTATTTCTGGGCAAGGACTGAACTCTAAAACCAGGTTAGTGACTCACACACTTGTAATCATCCTCTGTCAGATTTACGTGGTCATTAAGAACCTGAGTTTTCTCTCTATAGAGATTCCTGCCTTAGACACCCTAGCTGCTGAGTTGCAGCTCCGACTTCTATTAAGAAACGCTTTTGTGAATTTTTCTGCCTCGAATTCCCGGTCCTCAGTTCTGAGTTAGTTTATTCCAGGTTCATCTGTATGCTGCCCTTCCTACAGCTGGCATAGATGCCATTTCTTTTTCTTTATGGGGACAGATTTCTCACCAGTTGTTTCTGTTTTTGACAGATGTGAAGATGTCCAATCCACCTGATCTTCCAACCACATCTAGTCAAGCTGCACTGCAGTTTGACTTTCACAGTATGTTTAGTTCTGTGAAGAAGGGCTGGTTGGAGAAGCGTTGTGTTGAGTTTTCATGTTACATTGATCCAGAGCTGTTCATCATGGACAGGCATCAGCATAAATCCACAGCCTCTCAAAAATCTAGACCAGTCGAAGTCAGCACCATGTTCCAACATCTTTCCAGAGGAGGTCAATGCAGCAAAACAGTGGTGACCAAAGGCGAAGCTGGCATTGGCAAGTCCTTCCTTGTGGAGAGGTTTATGCTGGACTGGGCCGAAGGTCGAGCAGGTCAAGAATTTCATCTGGTTTTTCCTTTTGATGCTCGCCAGCTGGGTTTATGTAGAGGAAAGAGTTTCAGGCTAGCAGAGCTAATTCACACGTGTGTTCCAGAAATGGCATCCATTGCAGAGGAAATGCTTAATGAAATCCTCACAGACCTACAAGATGTCCAACACACCATTGATGATAGACGGAAATTTAAGCTTCTGTTTGTTATCGATGGTCTGGATCAGAATCTCCTTGAACTTGATTTTACCGGCCGAACACGAAAGCCGGATATCCGAAAGTCAACCAGAGTAGAAGTGCTTCTGACTAATCTCATCATGAAGAAACTGCTTCCTTCTGCTTGTCTCTGGATTACCACGCAATCTGCAGCAGCCAATCAGATCCCTGCTAAGTGTGTTGACATGGTAACGGAGCTCAGAGGGTTCACTAACCTGAAGAGAGACAAGTTCTTTAGGAAGAGATTCATAGATGAAGAGAAGGCCAATAGGATCATCTCCCACATAAACACATCACAAGGCCTCCATATCCTGTGCTACACCCCATTCTTCTGCTGGATCACTGCTGCGGTTCTGGAGGAGTCCTTGGAGGCCAGACAGGGAGAAGAGCTGCCAAACACCCTGACAGAGATGTATGCAGAGTTTCTGATGGCTCAGATCAACCACACAGAGAAAAAGTATGCTCCGGAAAAGTGCATCAAATCTTTGGCCAAACTAGCCTTTCAGAACATCCTGAAAAATCAAACAGTTTTCACTGAGGAAGACTTAAGGAGATGTTGCCTTCCGGCTGGAACTGCATTGTTCTATTCAAGGTGGTTTAAAAAGATCTTTAAGGAGTTTCCTGGAAAGAAGTCAGAGGAGGAACAGATGTTCTGCTTTGCTCATTCCAGCATTCAGAGGTTTCTTGCTGCTGTTCATGTGATTATTTCACTGATCACCTACAACAGAAATGTTATGCATGTGTCATGGTTTAACTCTGATGAATGGCCCAAATTATTCAGCAGAATATCTGCAACAAAGGTTCACAGAAGGGCATTGAAAAGAGCCCTGAAAAGCCCAAATGGAAAGCTAAACCTGGTCCTACGGTTCATCATGGGTCTTTCTCTGCAAACAACCCAGGTCCGTATGGCTGGCCTGCTGACACCAACAGGAAATGTCACATGGTCTAACAACGAAACAAGTAAATACATCAAGAGGAAAATCAGACGGAGTAAATCACCAAAAAAAATGATAACCATGCTGCACTGTCTGAATGAGCTGAAGGATGACTCTATCGTGGAGGAGATAGAATACGTCCTGAGATCAGGAAGTCTACTCACAGACAGCCAATGGTCCGCCCTGAACTTCATAGTACTGTCCTCAGAAAACCATCCACATGAGTTTGACCTGAAGAAGTACTCTGCTTCAGACGGGGTTCTGCTGCAGCTCCTGCCTGTTCTGAAGGCCTCCAGCAAAGCACTGTGAGTCAACCAGAAATGTTTTCTCTAACAAACCAAGAGGGAATCATTTAAAAAGATTAATGACAATAATTCTACATTATAAATGAGTTTAAAGTAGGTTTAAAAACACTATAACAAAAATCATCAGCACTAAAAAATACTAAAAACAGGACAGTGCAATCAGGGAAGGTCTGCAGGCTGGAACAGGAGAGGTTTTAGTCTTGATTCAAACACAGGTAAAGCATCAGTATGAAGGATATTAAATGGCTGCACCGTGTTGCAATGGGTGACACTGTTGCCTTGTAGGTTTGATTCCTAGCCTGGGTCCTACTGCATGGAGTTTGCATGTTCTCCCCATGCATACGTGAGTTCTCACCAGATACTCCGGCTTCTTTTACTTTATCTAAATGTTCTAATTGCCTTAGGTGTGAGTGTGTGTGTGTACAGTAGCAGCCATTAGAAATCCCCCAACCTTCCTTTATTTGCCCTTGGCTGGTCCTTGACTGGTTCCCATAAGATTCTTTTTAAAAGCATCAATCTTTGTACTAAAATATTCTGTCAGGTCCGTCATCTCCTGGTCAGACCCTGTAATTCAGTAAAAGGGTGGAGGCAGAGTGAAAAAAATGCACGCCCAGGAGTAGGCCAGTGTCTGGAAGTTGGAGGGGATTTTGCTGGGAGTTGCAGGCGAGTAGAATGCCATTCAGCTGGCGTTTGACTAGGAAGGGCCATTTTGCGTGGCTGCTCATAGACTGCCAGGTGTAGGCACTGGCATGACTGCGATTCCGACAAGGACTAAGCGGGAGAAGATGGATGGATGGGTAACAGAAGGCAATGAATTCCAGAGTTTCATGCTGATGGTGAGTCTGAAGGTTAAATAAGGTGGATGGAAGAAGATCTAAGGATTCGGATTAAGCAAGCATTGGTAATTAAGCAAGCCGATGAATTCTGACAAAGGACATGACATTCAAATTGAAACTGACGAACGGGTCCACCCCTTTGGAATGGGGGACGTTTGGCTTCTTTGTTAGCCTGCAATGCCCCATACCTGTCTATGTCTCTGAAAGGGGGGTCGCTAGAGGGAATTGTGGGCCTGGCTGAATAGGCAAGGTTTTCTGCTCTCCTGTATGGTTGTTGGAATTGAGTCCACCTCCTCTGTTTAAGGTTGGTTTATCTTTCTTATCATAGATGGGTTCCTACTCGCCCCTCTCAAACCACCTGTCTTCATTGTCCAAAATGTCTACATTCTGCCCCTCCAAAGAATGTCCTTTGTCCATAAGGTGTAGATGTACCGCAGAGTCTTGTCCAGAGGAGGGCGGTCTTCTGTGTTAGGCCATGCATCTGTGGAGAGGTTGTTTGGTTTCTGCATACACCACTCTGCTCATATTTGGTCTAAGTCAAGTTCCATTTTGCTAATTTATGGCAATGATGCTGGTTTTTTATTTTCTGTTTTTTTTATATATATATCTAGAATGCACAAGCACATTTTATTAAGACTTATGTACATCTACCTTAAAATATTTTCTTTTTGGAGGAACAACATCAAATGAACCATGATAAGATCTCTAAATTCAGCTCCCTCTTTTTTAGGTTAAAAAGCTGTAAATTATCAGAAGCATCCCTGGAAGTTCTGTCTCAGGTTCTCAGCTCTCATTGCTCCAGTCTGAGAGAACTGGACCTGAGTTACAACGACCTGCAGGATTCAGGAGTGAAGCTGCTCTCTGTTGGACTGCAGAGTCCAGACTGTAAACTGGAAACTCTCAGGTATGTTCACCCATCGCAGCCATTTTGATGTTTAAACCTGTTAACTTTATCATTTCTTTTCAGCCTGGAGGTATTTCCCTCAAGGAGATTTTTTCTTTTCTTTTTTGTCCTTTTTCATTTTTTTTAGATCTTCTTCAAACATGTTATAATGTCTAATATCGGCGGAGTAAATTATTTTTAAATGATTTCAATTAATACACTGCCTGGCCAATGCATAGGCAATTATCTTTCAGCTGGCAACAAGTTATTTAACCCCAGCTGGTGCAATGACTTGCTTCTCATTTCCTAAACAACCATGTCGAAAGACACATCCAGTGGTCATGGAAAAGATGTTAGTCTGTTTGAGAAGGGTCAAATCATTGGCATGCATCAAGCAGAGAAAACATCCAAAGAGATTGCAGAAACTACTAAAATTAAGTTAAGAACTGTCCAACGCATTATTAAAAACTGGAAGGATAGTGGGGACCCGTCATCTTCAAGGAAAAAATGTGGCCGGAAAGACATCCTGAATGATGGTGATCGGCGATCACTTAAACATGTGGTAAGATCAAATGGAAGAAAAACAACAGTAGAACTCAGGGCTATGTTTAATACTGAAAGTAAAAGCATTTCCACACGCACAATGCAAAGGGAACTCAAGGGATTGGGACTGAACAGCTGTGTAGCCATAAGAAAACCACTAATCAGTGAGGCTAACCAGAAAAAAAGGCTTCAATTTGCTAGGGAGCATAAAGATTGGACTGTGGAGCAATGGAAGAAGGTCATGTGGTCTGATGAGTCCAGATTAACCCTGTTCCTGTCAGGATTACTGTCTGTGTTTCTGTGTTTGTCTCCCTTCCTCCACCAGGAGGCGCCTGGTTCTGGTCCGTCTCCTCACACACCTGCAGAGGGCGGACAGGGTTTACCTAGAATGCGGTTGTTAATAGGTGAACAGAGAAGTGACTGCTACTCAGATTTCCTGCGGTACTTGAACGGGTCGTAGTGGAGATGAATCCCTTGCTCAGTGTGAAGCTCAAACGATCTCTTGAGGAAAGTAGATTCAAACCTTCAGTTTAAATCCTCAGCTCAGTTTGAAGCTCAGATGATCCTTCCAGGGAGAGAAGGTCCGAAAAATCCAGTTTGCAGGATGACTTCCTGCCGAGAGGCAAAGACAAAAACAGCAAGGTTAAAACTCAGGTAGACAAAAAACTCAGTTTGACTCAGCAAAACTCAGCTTGGCTAGAGTACCCAAAACTTTTTATTTCATTTATGTGCATTTAAATCAAAATAATTGTTTGTTTGTTTAAGTTTGACAACAGCAGGGAAACCATCATCAATTCTTTAAAGTTCTAAATTCACATTTTCTCTTTTTTAGGTTAGCAGACTGTAAATTATCAGAGGCATCCCTGGAAGTTCTGTCTCAGGTTCTCAGCTCTCATTGCTCCAGTCTGAGAGAACTGGATCTGAGTTACAACGACCTGCAGGATTCAGGAGTGAAGCTGTTTTCTGTTGGACTGCAGAGTCCAGACTGTAAACTGGAAACTCTCAGGTATGTTCACCCATGGCAGCCATTTTGATGTGGGATCATTTAAACCAGTTAACTTTATCTTCATTTCAGCTTAGAGGTATTTTCCTCAAGGAGATTTTTTCCTTTCTTTTTTGTCCTTTTTCATTTTTTTTAGATCCTCTTCAAACATGTTATAATTGTCATGATGGGTCTAAAGCTTCAAGCCCATATACAGAACACAACGGAGGCTGGGTAAAAAGTTTAACAGAGTTTATTTGGTTGCACAAAACACAAGATCATAAACTGGAACTGGAACTGGTCAGGGCTGGAACACTGGAGTCTGCAGAGATGATAGTTTGATTAGACAACGGAGTGATGAGTTTTATGAGTCCTTGTTTACTCAGCAGAATACCTTGAGGGTGTCCGGGCTTCTCCTTGAGAGAGAAGGAACTGTTGGGTCCAGAGACTGTTTGTTCGTCAGAGTCCAAGAGTAGCTGCAGCGTCTTGCTTCTGACTTTGAAGGCAGACCTTGATCTGAGTTTCTGGCTCTTAGCCAAGAGCAGCAGGGGAGTCCACAAAGGAATCTTCAGGTTTGGCTAACGAGGGCAATCTCGGCAGGTTAAGCTCATCCAGAGCCTCAGGTAGAGACAGGTTTCCTGTGAGGCAAAAACAAGGAAGAATTAGGATCAAGATCTCACTCAAGGGACAGCAAAGATTCTAGGTTCTAGGCTCAGGTCGCTAACCAAACTAGGTCAACACTGCGGCGTCGAAGCAAGGTCTGGCAGCTGGTTATATAGGGCAGGTTTCTGACGAGGAGATGCGCCTCAGGTGTGCTGGAAGACTCCAGCCCTTGGAGACCCACAGCACACTCTGCTGGAGGAAGGTGGTACAGCTCCAGATCCCAACAATAATCTCTAATGTTGGCAGAGTAAATTATTTTTTAAAATGATTTCAATTGATAGTTAAATAACTCAAGAAAATATCATGATTCTGTAAAAATATTAGATAATAATTTAAACTGCATGCTGTTGATTTAAAAAAGGGTGATTTTGGTTTCCATTCGCAGACTTTCATCAAATTACATTAAAGGTCATTTTTGCTTTGATGGTTGTATTTTTATTTCATTTATGTGTATTTAACTTAAAATAATTGTTTGTTTTGTTAAAGAGTAACAACAGCAGGGAAACCATCATAATTTATTTAAAGTTCTAAATTCACATTTTCTCTTTTTAGGTTAGTAGACTGTAAATTATCAGAGGCATCCCTGGAAGTTCTGTCTCAGGTTCTCAGCTCTCATTGCTCCAGTCTGAGAGAACTGGATCTGAGTTACAACGACCTGCAGGATTCAGGAGTGAAGCTGCTTTCCGTTGGACTGCAGAGTCCAGACTGTAAACTGGAAACTCTCAGGTTTGTGCAGTCTCCATCAGTATGATGGGGGGGTCATGTAATCTGGTCAAATTTGAATGTTTTTTTGTTTGTTTTTTTTGTGGGGCAAAAAACATAAAAAAAATATATCTATATATACACTACCGTTCAAAAGTTTGTCCTTATTTTTTAAGGAAAACACTGTACTTTTCAATGAACATAACTTTAAACTAGTCTTAACTTTAAAGAAATACACTCTATACATTACAGTTTTATTACAGTTTAGCTTGTTACAGAAGTTACAAAACTGACCTTCCTTTGATTAGATTAAGTTTCTGGAGCATCACATTTGTGGGTTCAATTAAACGCTAAAATGGCCAGAAAAAGAGAACTTTCATCTGAAATTCGACAGTCTATTGTTGTTCTTAAAATGAAGGCTATTCCATGCGAGAAATTGATAAGAAATTGAAGATTTCCTACAACGGTGTGTACTACTCCCTTCAGAGGACAGCACAAACAGGCTACTGCGGGTACTATTTAATGAAGATGCCAGTTGGGGACCTGTGAGGCGTCTGTTTCTCATACTAGAGACTCTATTGTACTTATCTTCTTGCTCAGTTGTGCAACGCGGCCTCCCACTTCTTTTTCTACTCTGGTTAGAGGCTCTCTGCATTTAACCCTTCCCCTTTGGGAGCAGTGGGCTGCCATCTTTGGGAGAAATCAGGGGTTAAAGGTCTTGCTCATTGACCCAGAGTGGCAGTCTGTTGGAGTGGGGCTCAAACCTAGACCCTCAGTATTTCAAGTTCTATCCCACTAACCACTAGGCCGCCACTTCCTCACTATATTTGTTGAGTTTTATGTTGAACTATTCAGAGGACCACCTGCTAGTCCACCTTGTTGTACTCTTCCATAATCCTAATAACCTCTTCAGGGTTTAAGGTTAAATTTCTGACTGAAATTACATATCGGATTTAAATCAAGTTCTGCTGCGACAGTGCCTTACAATGGGTGAAAAAAGTATTGAACATGCCACCATTTTTTTATATATCTATAGAGGTGCTATTGACACTCCATGCAATCCAAACATTCAAAGAAATCAAACCATAGATGCCCAGAAATTAAAACGAGAGACAGAAATAAACAGCATGGAAGAAATAACTAGGGTAAAAAAAACACAAAGGCAGAATAAAACAGAAAAAACATGCACATAAATAAATACTTAGCAAAGTTGAATATTATAACAGACAATAAATAAGGTAATTATTACAAAGGCAAATCAATAAACAAGCTAATTAAAAAATATGAACATTTATGTCTTACTGTATAATTTAATTTATACCCACATTTGTTTATTTATTGTATTTTGGGAGGCAATTAACTGTATGCTTATTTATTTATATATGTATTTATTTTTAAATATGGTAGTGCTGGTTATAAATGTTAACCTGAGAATAACTGGATTTTATAGTTTAGAATTAATGCCTATTTTTCTTTTTTTCATTCTGTAATCCCACAGGATGTCTCGCTGTTTGATCACGGAGGATGGTTGTAATTTTCTGGTTTTGGCTCTAAAATCCAACCCACGCCATCTGAAAGAACTTGACCTGAGCTACAACCACCCAGGAGAGTCAGGAAAAAAGGAGTTAACAGCTGGACTGGAGGATCCCCTCTGGACTCTAGAGACTCTTAGGTACGGACTAACATATTTAAAATTATATATAAAAGGGCAGAAAAATAAGCAAGGTGTGTTTTGATCTGCCAGGAGCTTAAGACGCATCCACTGAAATAATGTGGATTTTTTTTTTTTAGGTTGGACAACTGTGGAGAGCATAAGCTGCGAACTGGAGTCAGGAAATGTAAGTTATTTACCTTTTATTTATATTATCATTTAATCTTATCAGTACACTGTTCAATAGATCTAAAACACAGCAACAATTAAAGGTACATCAATATCCTAGCCTCGTGAGACCATCCTGATCTCGCGAGCTTTCAAGGTTTCACTCGCAGATCAGTCTGGAGACTCTCCGTTAAAGAAAATTTGGAGCCGTTCACCAAACGAACGTCCAATCAGCGTTGGCTTTGAGGCGGGTTGAGGTGTGACGCAACGAGAAGCGCGACAGTTCAGTCTAAAGAACATGGCGGCTTCAGCCGATGAAACTAGCGTTAGCGTGGCTATCGAGCAAGTTTTATCGGAATTACAGAGTATTTCTTCACTGAAAGAAGAGCAAAACACTGCTCTGGAGGCTTTTCTCAGAGGAAAAGATGTTTTTGCTCTTCTCCCGACAGGTTTCGGCAAGAGTAGCCTGGCTTGTGGTTGTGTTTTCGTTCATCGCTCTGTTACGTCATATACTTCGTTGATCTGATTGGTTTATTTGGCCCGTCTATCACCAACATAGGCCAATCAGCTAACCAGTATTTTAGCCACTTCCCAAAATTACTTCAACGGAAGGTTTCCAGATGGATATGGGGAGCAAATCCATCTGGTGGAGTCAGGTTATCGATATCCCAAAGCACTTTGTCGAATTGAATCACAAAGAGCTTCTGAAAGCTTGTATGCATACTCATCCACTTTATATGGGACACAGTCACAGGGTCAGCGGTCCTAGAGGAGACACTCCAGACATCTTCTCCAGCTTTTCCTGGTGAAGCTCAATGCATTTCAAGATAAACTGAGAGACACAGTGTCTCCAGCATATCATGGGAGCAAATTTCAGCTCGTATCCAGAACGTCAAACTTTATGTTATGACTCAGATTTTATTACCATAGAAATGGTTGGGAATGAAGACCGATTGAGCTTTTGAGCTCAGCTCGTTCCTCAGCAAAACAGACCAGCTCAGCAGCTGCCTTACAGCTCTGAACTCCCACTGCATTTTCCACTGTCTTATGAACTGGACCCCAAGATATTTAAAATCCTGCATCTTTAGGCAATAACTTTCCTCTATCTTGAAGAGGGCAAGTCATCCTTTTTCAGTCTAGAACCATAGATTCTCACTTGGAGGAGCAATCTTCACTTCGTCTGACTAAATGCAATGGGAACCACATTTCAAAGTTTTCTATCTATGGAAAGGAAGCTGATTGCATTGATTGATCTTGCATTTTGCCAGCAATATAAACCAGACTCCCCTCTCCACTTGTAGAGAAACCTGTCAGCCTCTAGTAAAGGACACATTATTCCATACGCCTGCAGTGCCCCTCACCATGAAGGAAACGCTCAAATTCAATTCTATTCAGTTTATTTCTATAGCTCCAATTCACATCATGTCATCTCAGGTCACTTTCCAGTTGACCAGATCATCCAGTCAGATTGATTCAAAGTTTTCTATCTAAGGAAAACCAGCTGATTGCATCGACTCATTGACTCTTCAGCAATCCCTCACACTAAGCATGCTTGTAGCGACAGTGGAGAGGAAAAACTCCCTTTGAACAGGAAGAAACCTCCAGCAGAACCAGGCTCAGTGTGAGCGGCCATCTGCTGAGGCCCACTGGGGTTCAAGGAGACAGAAGCAGACATAGAAAAAGAAGCATAGATACAAAAGGCAACTGTCAACCAGCTCCACAGGCGGCCCCGTCCAGGAAACACACAGCATATCTGTGGTGAGCTACGGTTTCAGACAGTCATTGAAGCTCATCTTTCTCACTGCGGTTCTTTGAAAATGGCCGAGGGTCTGAAGAGAAAAAGTTTCTATAAAGTGTGTGAGTGTAAGAGAAAGGCCTCAGAAGAGGCAGATATATCCCAGAATGCTTTTAAGGCAGAGCTCTCCTCGCAAAGCATTATGGGATTTGCCGTCAGAGCGGCTCGCTGTCGCCATAGTCTGTCACTCCCCGACAGCGGCGACTAATAACAAAGATGGCGCAGGCACCGCGCCGTGGAGGAGGAGTTATGTGACCAACAGAGCAAAAAGCAGTGATCATCTGTCTGAACGGTCAGTTCACTGAGTTCACTATAAAGTTCACTATATAGTCCCCTCTGTATGTGGACACAGTCAGCTTTTTTAAGCTATGACAACAGCACATTTTAAACAGGTCGTGCACGAGGAGAAATGGGCTCATACATGCCCTTGCACCTGCATTTTTTTGAAGTGGGCGGATCTTTTAAAAAATCCTCCACAATACCTTTAAATTATAAACAAGTCAATGTCCTCTTCTTTTTCTTCTTTCTAAAAAAAATATTCTATATAAAAAAATCCTAATTTCTGTCTATATGAATAATTACTGCAAATTATTATTTATTCGTGGTTTAGTTGCAGCATTTTATACATCTGTTGGGGGTTTTTTGCACAGTATTTTGCTCAGTTAGAAGCTCTTTGGATCCTTGTGACTTTAATTATGAGCTTGTCATCAAAACTGAACTGGGGGGTCTTTAAAATGAAAAAAGTCACACCTGTAATTTCTGGTTTTCTTTCTCAGACACCTGTGAACTTGAAATGGACCCAAACACAGCAAACACATTCCTCATGTTGTCCCAAAGCAACAGGAGGGTGGTGTGTTCGAGGAAACAGGTATATCCAGATCACAAAGAAAGATTTAACTTCTGGCATCAGGTGCTATGCAAAGACGCTCTGCCTAGCCGCTGTTACTGGGAGGTGGAATGGGAAGGACAGGTTGATATAGCAGTAAGTTACAAAGGAATCAGCAGAAAGGGAGACGGAAGAGACTCCCTATTTGGAGCAAACGATAAGTCCTGGACTCTGACCTGCCTCCTCAACCGCTTTGCTGTCTTTCATAACAGAAAGCTTAAAGAACTTTCCCCGCCCCCGGGCGCCTTCAACAGAGTCGCAGTGTTTGTGGACTGTCCTGCTGGCATTCTGTCCTTCTATGCGGTTTCCTCTGACACGCTCATCCACCTCCACACATTCAGCACCACATTCTCCGAACCTCTGTATGCCGGATTTGGATGTGATCGGGATAAGGGGCTGATGAACTTCTTATATATGAGGTCGTCACTGTCTGTGTGCACGCCGTCCAAAGACGAGTCTGCGGCACCTGCTACAAAATAAGAACCAAAGAATTTGGTTGGAAGTATGTGGTTTAATGTGACCTCATGTCAAAATTGGAATAAAATGTGGTTTAAATGTAATTCAACTGCAAATTTTGATCTGTTAAAGATGAATTTATTTTTTATTTTATTTTCTATTTTAAATGACATTTGTTCTTTTCTATATCTGTTCAAGCTTCTGTGTGGGTTACCCAAAATGCACATTCTTAGGCTGACATTTGATGGCCAGATATGGTCACCTTATATGGTAGTGCCTTAGGGGCTTTGGGAGGGGGTCGCTTCCTGAAAGTGTGCAGAGGTGCTCAACCATTTGCGCTGAATGGTCGAGATGTAAGAGCCTAATAGAAGATGAAACCATTCTCTGTAATTTGTGCTTTAATCAATGATTTTGTAAACCATGACTGGAATAAATTCTGTTAATGCTTAAACATGTTTCTTCCTTTATGTGCACTATCTGAGAAACAATACCTCATCAGATCTGGACCGGATAAGAAAAGGGTGAAACAACAGAGCAAAATTCTATTCAGTTTATTTCTATAGCTCCAATTCACATCATGTCATCTCAGGTCACTTTCCAGTTCACCAGATCGTCCAGTCAGATTGACTCAAAGTTTTCTAGGAAAACCAGCTGATTGCATCGACTCATTGACTCTTCAGCAATCCCTCACACTAAGCATGCTTGTAGCGACAGTGGAGAGGAAAAACTCCCTTTGAACAGGAAGAAACCTCCAGCAGAACCAGGCTCAGTGTGAGCGGCCATCTGCTGAGGCCCACTGGGGTTCAAGGAGACAGAAGCAGACATAGAAAAAGAAGCATAGATACAAAAGGCAACTGTCAACCAGCTCCACAGGCGGCCCCGTCCAGGAAACACACAGCCAGGCAGACGAGCTCCGAGCCAGCTCCCATGTCAGAGGATGAAGAGAGCACATCCAGTTAGTCACAGTCAGAGAAACAGGACTACACTGGAAAACAGGCCAAGCTCCAACATCTAGAAACAAAGGTGTTGATGGCAGCAGCACAGCTGATATTTCTCTCCAGGATGGAGTCACAGCCAAACAGGAACAGACCAGATGAAGCTACTATGAGAAAAAGCAGAGAGAGCAGAACGTTAGAGATTGAACTAACAGATTCTGCAGAGTGGGAGAATAGAGATAGAATGAAGCAGAATGATGAAAAGGGGTCCCTATGTCCTCCAGCAGTCTAAGCCTATAGCAGCAGAACTATAGAGATAGCTCAGGACAACCTGAGCCACTCTAACTAGAAGTTTTATCAAAAAGGAAAGTTTTAAGCCTAGCCTTAAAAGTAGACAGGGTGTCTGCCTCACGGACTAAAACTGGTAGTTGGTTCCACAGGAGAGGAGCCTGATAACTAAAAGATCTGCCTCCCATTCTACTTTTAGAATGTTGGGAGCTGGAGAAGATCACCTTCCTCCAGCAGAGTCCGCCATGGATCCTCCTGAGCCGAGCCACAGTATTTAAGCTGTCTTCAGACCTTGCCTCAACGCCGCAGTGTTTTATCCAGTTAGAAACCTGTTTTTCTCCTGTGAAGCTCAGGAGGAGCTTAACCTGCCGAGCCTGCCCTCTGAGCCAAACCTGAAGTCTCTCTCTGGATTTTCCATGCAGCTCTGGACCAAGAGCTGGAAAATCAAAGCCAAGGTCAGCTCATTCTCAAGAAGTAAGACGCTGAAGCAGTTAACGGACTCTGCTGAACAAACTATCTCTGGACCCAACAGTTTCCCTCTCAAGGCTTTAACCAAGAACCCTCAAGGTACAAATCTGAAACTGTCTGAATCAAACTCCTCTGAGCAAACGCTAACTGAACTGTCTCCCACGCAGACTCCAGTGAACCAGTCCCCAGGCCAGAACCAGAACCAGTGGTTAAACTGTGCTTGTGACAATAAACATTGTTAAACCTTTACTTCTGTTTCCGTCTCCGTGGTGTTCTGCATAACTGGGTCTCACTAGAGAACCCATCATGACATAGAAATTCTAGGAACCACTAGTAAACCTGCAGATTGAGAGAGAAGTGCTCTGTTAGGAACATAAGGAACAATCAGATCTCTGATATCAGATGGAGCTTGGCCATTTAAGGCTTTATATGTGAGAAGGAGGATTTTAAATTTCTTCTTCTTATATCGATGAACAATGTGATATAAGAAATAATTTAGTTGATCCTGGATTTCATTTTTTTTTTTTAAAGGACACAGAGAAAGTTAAAAACAGTCTCTCAGACTTTAAATGGGCCTAGTCAGGTACTAAGCTGATAAAATACCACCAAAAATAATATATACTCACCTTAAATAAACCAATAGATACCATGTGTCCGTCGTGATAGTGTTTATTAGGCCCTTTATAAACCTGAAAATAAATTTTTGCAGTGGGCAGAATCAAGAGATGAGCACTCTGTTATGCCAACTGGGTGCCATGATTTAATTGAAAGTAATAAGCCTATTTTTGCAAAATGAGCTTCTGGGGTAGAAATGAGTCAATTTGTAATACACGACTAAGATCCTTTAAAATGCATTTACACCGGGTCACCTCTAGGTTAGATACTGTTAACACTGCTTTTTGTTTTTTATACAAACCTATGTCAAAGCATACATAACTACAGATTCCTTATATTACAGTGATGCTCTGTTGTTAGAGGAGGAACTGAGCATGGCAAGTTCCAAATTTAATTGATTTATAGCAAATATTTGATATCAAACTAGAAATGAAAAAGTGCTAGAAACAGGAAACCCAATCCGATGCTGACTGGTCACCTATTTTGGTACGTCCCTTCCCCACACGGCCCTGAATGACGATGCATTGGACTTGGCAGTTATCACACATTAGTGTCCTGGTGGTTAGAGCATTGCGCTTGGCCCCAAGGTTCTGAGTTCAAGATCCCCTTGTTCCCACAGACTGCCACTCTGGGTCCCTTGCTTCCTGTGCAAGACCTTTAACTCACTCCAAGAATTCTGATCCTACTAGAACTCCCACTGTCAATCAATTTGATGGGTGGCAATCTTCCCAATAAAAGGCATGAGTGGTGATGATGTTATCGACTGAAATGGTTCTAGTGTGCTATATTAACCCATTGTAGACCTTACAACATGTCTAATTTATTTTTTTAAAGGCTGCATTATATATATTACTATTATTTGTAGTCTAAATTTTCTATTAAAAATAAGTCAGTAAATTAATTAAGACAGTTTTACTTAACAGGTTCAAAGTTTGAAATAACATTTTTACTTACAGAAATTGATTATTCCCCCCCGCTCATTTCCTGCATACCACCTTTGCACATTTATGACAGACATATGAGCAGTTTTTTGAGCAGTGTTGAAGCACCTGCCGCTGTGTTCTTTGCTTCACCAAAGCTCTACTGTGGGGGAGGGGCTGGAAACCTGAGGTTTGCACACAACTCTTTTTAACGTTAGCCCCGGCTGCTGCAGACGGGCTAGTTTTAGCCCTGGTTGCCCTTACCCTTGGAGGTCTGCTGGTTGCCACCATCCTCTTAACTTTGTTTTTTTTTTTTTTATTATTATTATTATTACACATTAAAGCAGTAAATGTTCCATATAGTGAAACTTAAAATATAATGTTCTTGCCTCAAATGATCTTAAAACTTACTTTTATTGAACAACAGCAACAGAAAAGAGAACTTTCAACTTGATTAAAAGAGCGCTAACCCGGAAGCTGCTGCTGCTGCAGTGCATGCTGGGACAGCTGTCAGTCTGGAGAACGGACAACTCTGCTCTGATGCATGCTGGGTAAAGAGCGAGGAGCCAGAACAACATCCGGGGACTTTGTCCGTTCTCGGTCTTGTGTGCTTGTGAATTGGAACAGTGCTAGAGCTGAAGCTGATGTCGTTTCACAAGCACATGAGAACGCACAAGTACACATAGTGAAAAAACAACCCTAGTGTTAACCCTAGACTGCTCCCAGGGCGCCACACAGTGGCAGCCCCTTGGGGGATGGGTGACTTTATACAGTGAATTTCCCCATTGTGGTACAATAAAGGGAATTACACAAATATGTCGTCTACCTCTGCAGAGTGCAAAGACCCCCCCATATGAAACACTGCAGGAGAGTCAAAGATCAAGTGAGTGAAATTAAAAACTGTCTCCAAATCTGTAGCTCAACTATAGAGCAGTTTCCAGTAGATATTTCTATAAACCGTTCCTCCATCCTGATATTTTAAATCAAATTATAAAATATTTTACAATGCAGAAACAAAAAGTCTATCACATCAAATTTTCCTCAGTTAAGGCATTTTTTATTTAGAACCTAAAACCATATCTTCTTTTATCCTGACTAAATAAGTTCTAAAACAAAATTCCCACATTTTTGACTGAAGTGAACTACCAAAAGCATTTTACACAAATTAAATTATTAAATCTGCTCATACGCAACGTCTGCTCTTGTTAACTTTGCCAAACGTGCAAAATGTCTAATCATCATAAGTCGTAATAAGACACCGAACCCAAAAAATACAGAGACCCTCTGAATATAATTCCTTTATTGTATTGAAGCACACCCAAACTGTAGCCGTGCAATCCTTACAGACACATCAAGCATAAAACATTTAAACATCAACAAAAAATATTAAAGCATCAAGCTTAAAGCTTAAATCACTGTTTATTAAGGCAAGAAAACATAAACATGCAGGCAGAAGAGGGCAGTCATTAGTTACATTTACTTCAGTAAGAATTTGAAAATAATCTGCTTTTAGGAGTCGGTTTACTGAGCTGTACTTCTAACTTTTACTTGAGTAATATTTCTGCAAAGTATCGCTGCTCCTACTGGAGTAAAATCTCTGACTCCTCTGTGAGTAATTTGAATGATTCCAATATCAGATAAACATGCAGTAAACAGTAGAAATCATCAGTGGAAGATTGTTTCCCCGTCCTAACATATATACAGTTCTCACTGTAAGAATTGCTTTTCTAAGTAAACAAAATAAAATAAAATAATGGATAAAAGTATTTTCTTCTGCACAAATTTGTTCTTTTATATACATGACATTTATTTTTATTCTTTAGGAATTTCAGAACTTGTACACAAAGTCTGTTTCCCAGCATAATTTATTAATATTAAATCTAATGTTTTAATACAACAATAACTCAGTACTAAAGTAGATTTTCTACCAAATAATTTTTACTAGTTTTTTTCTTCAAATGAGTAAAAAAATGTTAGGTTAGTGCTACTCTACAGGAGTCAGTTTGAAAACCACTGTCATAAAACCGTTACATTATTTTTTACCTTTAAAAAGCATAAAGACTTTATTTTACTCTGTTTATTCTGCATTTGTGCTTCTGTCTCCATCTGCATCACAATTAAATTTTACTTTAATAATTTTACTTTTACAAATTGTGAAATGAGAAATCCAAGCTTTCTAAATGTTCATAACACTCTAATAACCCTCATCACAGGCTGACTTTATTCCATATTCTTTTACAGCAGAAGGGAATTAATTCTCATCTCCATCAATCTCCTTCAACACAGCAAACATTTTTTAAAGAAAGAAACAGAAACTTCTGAAAACATGCAAACTTATGACAATAACAGTAATGAAATAATTTTTTTAAAGATGATTAAATAGAGGAGATTATGGAGCTATTGCAGATGTTTAGGTGAAAGCACTAGTTGTCTCTATTGCAAGTTTTGCATAAATATCGATGTTCTAATAGAATAGCTCTCCAACTTTTTTATGATACCTCATATCACAGTTTGCTGCCATATTCTAAACCCTACTGTGCAACAGAAACTTTAACTCCAAGCAGGAATGTTTTTGTCGACAACATAAAGGAAAGTTCAAGTGTTTTCTAAACATTATCAGCACCAAAGCAACCAAACAAATGACAACACAAATGATAAGTATCTAGTGCTTTTTCATCGTCTGCTCCACTGTCACTATCCCTGGTGTCGGGATAGTGACAGACCCAATCTCCTCTGTCACTGTCATGTCCAACTTCTTTTCACACGTTTCTCCATAGTAACCGTCCAGACAGTCACACAGCCACTCGTTGGACCTAAGCAGCCTCCTGCATGTCCCATTGTTCTTACATTGATGTTTTTTGCAGACAGATTCATTTCTCGAGTAATGAACAGAAATCCAACCATCATAGTTGGACCAAACCAAGCCATTCCACCACCACCACCATTGACACTTTAATCGTTGAAAAGGTGTTGGAACCTCTACATACTGATCTCCATAGGCAACCTGTGTAACTTTGGCATAGTGTTCAAAAGGAAAGAAAATCTCATCACTATGATCCCTTGGATACCATTGATGACTGCATCTCTGTGGTGCTTTCACATTATTACAATTCCGGTTTTCAAAACATGCCTTGGCTGTGTCTTTAACTTCTTTAACATTTGTCATGTTTGCCTTCACAGTGTAATCTACACCCACAAGAAGACCATTGATGTTGAAAGTAAACTCAGTATGAAGTAGGTGATTCTTCTCCGTCCCTATCACCAACACCACCCAGCTGTACCAGCTGTACTTGTTGTCCAGAGCTTCTTTCACCTGATCAGCAATGGCCTTTTTGTTGTCTGGACTTAGATCTTTGACAATCTCAACCACATCCTTCTTTAAGTAATCCTCATAGTTTTGAAGGCAGAACTCTACTTCTGCTAACTGAGCTTCAGAAACCTTCTTTAGTATCTGTGCAGGTTGATCTTCTTTGGCTTTCATGTTAACACCAGCCATTTTCCAGTAGAACTGGTTGAGCACCATCCCCTTCCACAGCAAACTGCTGAGGTAAGAGTTATATCTGCCTATCTTATTAATGTCACATTTAAGCTTCTTCTTCAGCAGATTGTTGAGGTTCCCATGCAGAGAAATGCTGGTTCCTGTAAGGTACCGATAGAAATTGGAAACGCTGGACTCGACTCCTGAGTTTTCATAGTATCTGATGAATTTCTCAGACAATGTGAGTCCATCTTTTGCACTTTTCACCAGATTACTGTGAAGGTCATTAAACTTCTTCCAGGCATTGAGAATAGTGGCTTCATCTTTAGAGTAGACGCTCACATAGTTGAACCATTCTACATCTGTTGCTAGGTTGGAGATTTTGAAGGAGAGAGAGTCCAGCTTCCGGTTCACCTCATTAAACCCTTTATTTACTTCATTCAACAGTGGGTTGTCCTGAGGGATAAAAGCCAAGACCACCTTGACAACAGAGAAGGCCGTAGCTGCAACACCTGGAGCCAATCTAGCAAAGCTGGAAATACCCTTCATCACAGTGGACAACTTCTCTGAGTTCATCATATTCACGACATCTTTGAAAAGAGAGAGAGAATCTTTTGCAACATTTAGGGTCTTCTGTGTTTTTTCCTGCGTTCCAGGTGGCAGCTGTCTTTTGATTATGTTGAGGATTGAGTTCGAAGAATGTGACTTGGCAGAGACAGTCATCCAGCGGAGAACAATTATTGAAGGCAATAGCATCAAAGTTGACCTCTTCAGATCCATAGCTGCCAAGTAAGAAATAAGAAAATAAATTAGTTGTTTTATAAAATCCAGCTAAAAAAGACAGAAACATTTTGTTGTTGGAAATAAGTATTTAAATATTCACCCCAGTTAAATAAACACAAATCAATGGATTTCACTCAGTGGGCACTTTATTTTATCTTTGCAAAGAGAGAACAGTTCATCATACGGCCCTTGTTGTGTGGTAATCAGCCCAGTTTTGATCTGGGCAGCGTTCGTTCCCCTTACTTAATGTATTGGGATGTAGTTAGAGTCAAAAGTCTTTCTCAGGCACAGAGAGAAATGTTGCCACAGTAGTGTGGAATGAGCAGCTGAGATCTTGCGAGAGCGGTGCGTAAGTAAAATGGTGACATATATGTAGTTCAAAACAAATCCACTCAGGTAAGTACAAGCCAATAATTGTAAACTAAACAAAGTCAGATTTAAACATTAACAATTGTCTCGTATTTTTCTAGGGAACAAACTGGACGAGGAGACCTTGATGAGCCTGGAGAGCGACCTGGGCGAGTGTTTTGACACCATCGTAATAGGGAAGCCTAGGAATCCCGCTTCCACAAACACATATTCTACCGAACGCTCTCAGTCTAACTCAACCAGAACCAGAATGCACTTAGTTTTCTGATTTGCTTGTGAATTGTATTCACAACATGTGAGACATGCAAAAATTTTAAAAGCAGTAGTAGTACTATATTCATCATAACTCCCCCCTGTTTGAGACATGATAATTTCATGGATCAAAATAGCTGCTGGTTTTCAGAATCAGAATAATTCCAGAGGGAAATTGCTTTTGCTAGATGCTCAAATTACAGTTATATATATAAATATATATCCAACTAAAGAATAAGAATATGGGGAAACTGTTGTTTACACGGGTCCTCTTTAACCCTTAAAAGTAAGACACTACAGGTATGAGCGTATCACCATGAGAATGTAACAACACAAAGGTCATATAACTTGCTTAACCACCAGCTGTTTGGATGCACGGTTTTTGATAAGTTTACAAAGCTAAGACAGTTGCTGAGAAAAGTTCCACATTCTGCACTGCGAACCGCTGTCTGCTTCTCTGACATAGCTATTAGTGTGTCATAGAAAAAAAAAAAAAAAAAAACTTAAGAAAAGCTGAGTTTCTTTTTTTTTTTTATAATGTGGAATCTAAGCCCTGCAGTCATTGCACAACTCCAAAAAGATACCCTTGTAGCTTTTCACCCTCCTCCGAAATAACATGGCCCAAACAACAAACTTATTTCTGCACCTACTAAAATTTGTATAACTAGTTTATACTTTCCTTTACTTCACATTCTAGCAGATATTGTTTTATCCTTGGCCTGTATTAGGAACTATTTCAGCTAAATCTATAGTATATAACAGTCTTGCATCAATTCTTCTTGTATACCACAATGCATTTGGAATATCTTTGAAATCATTTTCATCAAATTGTGATAGCAAAGAATGCTGAGTTATTTTAACAAATGCTAAATCTTGGACCCAAGCTTCTGTATTGAACAGAATTTTATAAGGCTGCTTCCATAGTTCTGTGTTAGGGCTATAAAGCCAGCCTGGTTTGTGTGGTGCAGTAACTGCTGCTAAGAACCCCCATCTATGTCCATAATTTGTGTAGCCATTATAGTAATGTCTTGTTTCAGAAACTGTTTTGCACAAATTCAAAGTTTTCTACTGTTCAACTAACAGACTTTCATCCAGTGGATCTGACAATGTGCTTCTAGCATAGTGTATATAGACACAAGTAGATTTTGTTGAAACGCTATCTATATGTTCCACACATTCGGCCTTCACGCCCCCCTGTTTGGGAAAAATTGCTTAATTTTCCCATCAATTCCCATCCTAACAAATTAATGTGGTGAGTTGGTGATATTAAAAAACGCAGAACCTTGCAATGGTTTTAGTCCTACATTATCTTGAATGCAAATTTTACTTATATTGCATATAAGTCTAACTGCTTGTCTAATAATTGTTAAAACTATTCATGTTTTTGCCTTTAATGCATTTAATATCCCCCATGCTTCATACACGTCTACTATTTTAATGGCTCCCCCATTTGCTCAAACACCTATTGTGTTTTCTACGTGACCCCTTGTTTTTCCCCTGTGACCACCGGCCCCTCCATTGAGCCCAATTATGGTCCAAACTTTGCTTCATAGCTGTTTCTATGTTTTAGCTTGCACAATCCACTTATTTAATCCCTCTAAATTTTTTTTTTTTTTTTTTATTCCCTGTATGTAGCTTGCATGACTAAAATAATTTTCTTGTGGGTTATTAATTTTTAAATTTTGGTTCCGAAATTATAGCTTTGGAGACCCTGCAGACGCATTAGGAAGGCTGTCAATTAGAACAATGCTGCAGTCATCGCTCCACTGACATCCCCCCTGCGCGCTTATGCAGATTTAAGCTGTCTCCTTCTAAACTGTGTTTCATTATTTTTTGGACACACAAACAACTTAAAAGACCCACAAACATGGAAACACATAATATTAAAACCGGACAAACACAACATTATATCTATTTATTTAGGTTTTCATCGTATCTGCTTTGTGCATGTATCATACTCTAACTTCCACTCCTACAAGTATTTTAAATTACTTGGATCAATCTGACACAAATTTTACATCCCCTTTATGATCTTCTCTATACTCTTCCCTGAACCCATCCTTTTTAATTCTTTTACTCCCCTGACTCACTTTAGTTCTATTATTTTATCATTTAGTTCTTAATATTTTATCGTGGAATAGAGGCGTCCCTCAAACCCATATTTTTTCCAAACTATATATTTAAGTGATTATTATTATTATTTTTATTTTTTATTTTTTGTTGGATCCTGCACTTCTACAACTTCTAATCGTAGATTCTAAATTATCTCTAATTTATTTTGACCTTTTCCCATTTGAAAGAATTTAGTCCAGTACAAACACCTAGGGTATTCTACGCACTGGATGTTTATTCAGCAGGACAGCACCCAAACACTGTTGTGGTAATTTCTGCTTCTACCTTTTCAGGTGAGAAATTCTTGCCTCTGCATCCACAAGAGTTGTACTGTATTAACCCCTGGTGTTTTAATATGAAGCAACAGAACCTGAAAGGTTCAATTGTTTCCTGACACAATCCCACACAGTCACACACACCTATTCTAAGGCCTAAGATATTTTTTTTATTTTAACCAACATAGACAAAAAAAAACATTTATCGTGTACACTTTTGGAGTCTCCAGCTCCAGGCCCTTGCACGCACCGGATACCCAGATCCCAGATCTGTCAACAAAACTTGGTTTCGTCAAATATCCCTGCTGCAGCTGCAAACCTTACTATCTCGAGAACAACACAGAGTCCTAGACTCAAACGCACAGAATACCGATCCCAGATCTCTCACAAAAAAACCCTGTTTGTCAAATATTCTAGCGACTACAACTAGTTATAGCTTTCACACAGAGGGTCCCAGACCCAAAACGCACAGAATACTGATCCCAGATCTCTCACAACAAACCCTGTTTGTCAAATATTCTAGCGACTACAACTAGTTATAGCTTTCACATGGTCCCAGACCAACTTTTGATCAAAAGCTTTAGGCGTACCCTTTCTGTGCAGATCAGTCCTAAGCTTGAGTCGCCACCAGGATGTCCAGGGCAGGGCTGGACCAACCTATTGGCTACGTACGGTAAAGGGTGGACGGCTGTCGACAGTTTCTTGGCCTTGGTCCCGCACGGTCCTGGACAATTGGATCTTGACTCCCGGAGTTTCAGCACCAAAAATGTTGGGTTTTAATCCAGAGAAATGTGAGTTTAAAAGATTAAAAGGAAATAATCAACACAGAGACAGGGTTTTGTGACGTCAGCGTCTGCAGAGCGGAGAGAAGCTGCTGGCTCGGAAAACCAGCACCTTCTCACACAGATCTCTTCATGGCAAAGCCTTTTATTAAGAGTTTACAACATCATAAGGCGGGCCTAAAACAGAAGACCCAGTGATGATTATCTGGGAGGATGCAGGTAATAAGATGGAATAGGATGGAAGTCACACAACCGTGTGATTCTGCCTCATGACCTGCTGGAGGTCATAAAAGTTTATGACCCTTCTGGTTGAATCACAGGATAGTTATCACTCTAACAATGAACGTCTCCTGCAACCTCCCTGCAGCTTCCCATATCGACCACCAGCAAAGTAAGACTCTCGGGGGAAAGACTACCCTAACTGTTGTGCTATAAACCATGATAAACCATATTTCACTTTGACATGGTGACTGTAGAAGAAAGTGCCATTTTGGCTGATAAACAGCTATAAGATCTCTGAACCATCCATGAATAGTGGGAAAGAGTGAATTACTTTTACTTTACCATGAAGCTACCTGAGGGTCGACATCAGAAGAGGCACCCATCATGGAGATCTAGGCCCAAAAAGGCCCAGATCTCCAGAATGATGTCATCATGGTTGACAATCCAATTTCTTTAAATTAGTGAAAAGCTAATTTGATCATATCCCAAATTCTTCCAGATAAACTTTGGTTTTCAAACACATAATCCATCTTAAACTGTAGTTCAACTGTAGTTCAACTGTAGGTTGACCTGTTTTCAACCAGTGTTAGAGCTATTTATTCTTTATTTCTTTATCCATTTGAATTGTGTTAATTCCTAAACTTGTATATTTTTTGTATTATTTAAAGACCTTATTTATAGGTTAATTGTTGAATTTTGTGTATTTATTTTTTGTTGTTTTATAATTTTTTTTTCTTTATTATGTAAAACAGGAATAAATGTGGGCGGTCCACTTTTCCTGCTCTTCTCCCGACTGGTTTCGGCAAGAGCTTGTGTTTTTTGTTTGTTTTTTCAATAAAACTTTATTAACAAAATTGACAAATAGTATCAAAAACCATATCAAAACATCAAGTAATACATTACAAGAGTATTAATAATGAAAAAGGAAACAAAAGAGAGTTACAAAAAAAACATATGGGAGGGGTACAAAATTTTCATATACATT